TCATTTGTGTAATCATGTAAACTATAAGTATTTTTTCTTTGTTTTAACGTAGGTTTTTGTTTGCAGTATTTGTTTCTTCTTTCTCACTGATAAAGACTTTTGCTCTCGCTGCAGCTTTCTCGTTTGCGCTCCCTCATTTTTTGTTTGAGATTTTGACACAAACATCCCAGGTGGGCGGGACTTTCAGGAGTGTGTCCCCAGGGCCGTATCCAGGATTTCCTAAATACCGAGGTCCAAATATGTTAGGGGGGTTCGGGGGATTTTCATGATCTAGTTAGGTGCTTTTTAAGTCCTGTGGGGGGTCACACATTGGATAATATATTGATTTCAAACCATGTCAGTGGGGCTGACAATGTCAGCATAAATTATTTTTGAAAGTGCAATACATACAGTATGTATTGCACTTTCAAAAATAATTTATGCTGACATTGTCAGCCCCACTGACATGGTTTGAAATCAATATATTATCCAATGTGTGACCCCCCACAGGNATGATGGTTAGTCATTTTGTCCGACTTGCTCGGTTATGGCTAGAAAGGATCCGTCGAGTGTAAAACTCTCGCGAGAGTTTGCAATAATGCTGAATGTTTACGTTTGGCAGGCAGCCTTTCAGTTACAATCGTTAACATCTGTGGGCCACAGCAAATGATGGTGAGAAGCTAAACTATGTTAACGATTGTAACTGAAAGGCTGCCTGCCAAACGTAAACATTCAGCATTATTGCAAANTTGGCTCAAAGAAAATATGTCAGGTGTCCTGTTAGATTGGCTTAAAATAGCATTGGTCCAATATTCTGGGATAACTGTGTCAATGCTGGTGTCCTTAGGCGTTGTATGGTGTAACAGCTTTCATACCGCTTGAACTGACCAATAGTTAGTTATTTGGTGTTTACGCTTTTTGGTTGACATTTAGTGCACCTGGTCTGGCACATTCAGAAGGCTAACAGTTTATATGGGAAACGGTGTTAACAATATGAATCAAAGAATCTGTTAACTGTACTTTTTTTGCTGTACTATTTTAGTGTCCCACACAACCCGATATCAGGACTATTAAAAACAAGCCTTTTGAGAGGAAATGTGGGCCAAGGATGCATTCACTATTCAATTTATTTAAGCTTTTTACAATCAGGCAATACTTTTTTATAAATAATGTCCAAATAACATTTTTTTAATAGTCCTATTCAGGCCTGTGGAAAGAGGGTTGCTCTGAGTTTGTGGCTGCCTACCCAGTTCAAATGTATTCAGAAGGCATCTGTTTTTGCCCTTGACTAAATGCTAATGATGCTAAATAAATTTTGTTTTTTGTCGACTCTAGTTTGGGCTTTAATGGTTTGACCAACTAATGATGAAAGAGGCTATATATATTTATAGTATAAATAGCTAAATGTACATATGGTACTGGTCCTGTGAATTAATGTTATAATGATTCGTGTTTTGCTTGACAGTGAGGTTAAGGTATGTACGAATGGTTGGGGGTTTTATTTGCAGCTGATGTCATGCATGCTTCAATGGGCAACAGACTAGCAAGGGACACATGTTGAGATGTGTTTTACTTTTATACAATGTTTCACACAACCATTTATTTGTTGTATCAGGCTGTGATATCGTGTGTTGAAATGTGGGACAGGAGAGGAAAGAGACGTTCATACTTTTATTTGTCCTTTATATTAGGTTGATTTGTGTTTGTTTATTATTCAACACAACAATGTTTTCATATTGTTGTCATATTCAGGCCTGTGCAACAGGTTCTGAGTTGGCTGTATGCTAGCCAGAAAGCATTATTTTGCTTTACCAAATGCTATGATTGCCAAGCAATGTGTTTAAATATATATGGGAAGGCTATATAGTACATACAACAATACATTGAAAGATATGTTTTTATGTTGTTTATTGAATAAAAAAGGCATGTCAGTAAAGCATATGTCCGGCCCTTAATGTGATTCCAATTTCCCAGAGTGGCCCTTTGTGAAAATGAGTTTGACACCCCTGATCTAGAGGCTAAGGAAAAATAATCATCTTTATGTATCCCAACCTGTGTCCGTGTATCATCCAGGTAGCAAGCCTGAACATAATAACGTTCTGAGGACTGAATTTGTCACGTAACGGTAAAGTCATCATGACCATAACCATCAGAACAAATCAAATGTGTTGTCTTTGAGAAGGATAAATAGAAGAAGAAAACATAATTTTTTTGTTATATTTTCTGTCACGGGCTGATCCAGGCTTACCCAGGAGACTCCGGGCCACAAGCCTGCTTTGGAAAGGAAAAACACAAACTGCAATTAATCTGCTTCAAGATGATGTCCTCGTCGCAGACCCAGGCACTAAGTAAGATTTGTTATGCTTTGTTGATTTGTTACGCTTTGTTGATTTCAATATATCAATGTGTACATTTTAATTGTGCAGACTGGGATAATGAATTGTATGAAAAGTGCATGTGTTTGACCGGGCAGAGACATTCATTGTGTTGACAGCAACATATTGTGTAATCTCTGCTTGTTTATGGTACAAGTTTGACATTTTGTGAAATATGCTTAACCACTCTCTTGTCAAGAATTAGATGACAAGACCAATACAACTCTCAATGTCTGCGGAGTAAACATTAACTTACAGCCAGCAGTTCACTTTGGAGACGTTGGTGAGTGCATTTTGAGAAATTCTGACAGTGCCAGCTGGTGGTTTCTCCTAATTCCAGTCTTTATGCTAGTCTAAGCTAACCACCTGCTGGCTGAAGTTAATGTTATGCGCACATTGTGATTTTATCACATCGTGATTTTATCCGTCATCTAATTGTGTTTGTTTAGGGCACATTCACATTTTGTGAAATTTGCTAGAACAACTTTCTTGTCAACAGTTAGATAAGAAAACTGATGCATCAGTCAAAGTCTGAATGGTAAACATAAACATTAGCATAGCTTAGCATAAAGACTGGAATCAGGGGTATACCGCTAGCAGGCACTGTCAGAATTTTAGAAAACGCACTCACCAATATTTCCAGAATTAACTAATTAATAAGAAAACATATTGTGTCTCTCTATGTGTAAATGTCAACATGCTTTGGATTGACATGGTGGTCATTTTGTAGCCAGAAAACAGTGACTGCCTTATCTTGCTGGTGAGTTTTTTCCTTCTTTTATTTGTATCAGTCTAGCTCTGTCAAGACTGAAAACCTCAGGCTTTTTGTTAAGACTGGATTGAGTTGAACACTTTGTTTACTGTTGCAGTATTCAACGCAATGTTACACATTGAGCCAAAGGAGCCCTTTTATTTTTCTGTGCTGCACAAGTGGGCTAAATGGATACAGAGATTCAATAGTTTCTACTTATCAAGCAGCGTTACAGCCAGCTCCAAAAAGAATCAGGTGAATTCAGTGATGTATTGTATTGGAGACAAAGCTGATAATGTTTAGTGAAGCTTGAAACTCAGTGATGCAGACCAGTAACAATACCCTGGCTTTTTTTGTAATGAAATGTGCATTGCTTACAAACCTGCACGTTCGGAAGCAAAAAGCATTTGAGACTGTGGATTTATTTTTCACCAGTCAACACACCAGTAGGCATTAGCTCAGCACTGATGATGCATAGCAAGCTTATCAGGGACAGGATTGTGATAGGACTGGCTAATATACAGTTCTCAGAATGCATTCTAATGGAAGAAAATCTAGATATGGAAAATACATAATTTAGAAGAGATGAATAAGCAGTAAAACCTACTATAGAGTGAAGCAAGCATAGATGCCAGGATGTCAGGAACTTAGGAAAAAATTGGTCTGATGTTCCACTGGATGTTTTTGCTTTTACGAGACTGCAGCTAAGGGAAGCAGCCACTCATATCATGGTTTGTGTCGATATCTGAACATGCCTTTGCTCGGGTTGCCAAAAAACATCTCCCAACTGGTTCAAGCAATGGCTCTGTTCTTTTAAAGTTGATATCCACCATGCCACTGTATTCCTAAATTCCTGAGGTCGCCAGAGGTTTAAACAACAGGGGAGCTGAATGTCTAGACCTTGAAGAACCTCAAAAAAAAGTTATCCTGCCCTACCTGGCTCTACTTGCCTATAAAGCCACACCCCTTAAGAGTTTATAGCCCAGCTCAGCTTCTCATGGTCCCAGATCTTCTGAAACTGTGGTCCACTCGAAAAGAAGAAGCTACATTTTCAATTTCCTTTTGCCTGTTTCGTCCTGCGTTTTGGTCCAATTTGATGTAAAAAAAAAAACGAGTTAGTTTGAAGCTAATTTTCGGTTTCAACCTGACAACCTCCTGATGATTGACAACCAATCTGGAAGTGTTTTCAGCCATAAATCGTCAACCTTTTTACATTAACATTTTTACATTTCAGTATTATTGAGTTTTAGAACCGCTAATAGGCAGATGTTAAAAGACAGAGCTTTACTCTAAAATAAGCTAAGCAGCTGCTGTATGCAGCTTCATGTTTAACCATATGGAAGAGTTGTATCAACCATCTCATTAATGCTAATAAGCAGGATTACAAACAAAAGAAAACAATTAATTATTTAATCAAGATACTTACCAAATAGTTTGTTACTCTTACTTCCTCCATCAATAACCAGCTTTTTCTTTCATTCTTTTGCTTCTTTACAGATGTCATTACAGCAACCTCGCCTTCTCACTGTTGGCTCATGTGATGGCCGAGCGAGTGGCTGCCGTGGACTACCAGCGCTGGATCACAGACAACATCCTGGATCGGCTGGGGATGGAGGACACTGGCTTCGACATCACCCCAGGGCTCCAGAGCCAGGTGGCCGTGGGAGTGTACTCCAACGGGAAGCCGGCGCCACTCTACGACCTGGGCTGGTACCGGCCCTCAGGTCAGATGTTTTCCACTGCTGCAGACATGGCCAAGCTCGCTATGATGCTGCTGGGCGCATATCACCGCAAGATGCTAGAGCCAGACTCATTGAAGATCATGCTGACCCCCCTCTTCAGGTGTGAAAAGGACTACTTTGCCAACCGTACTGGGACGCCATGGGAGGTGAATGAGTTCATGGGCTACGAGATGGTTCGTAAAGATGGCGATCTGGACGGGTACTCTGCCACCTTCTCCCTGGTGTCAAAACTGAAGCTCGGTCTGGTGGTGTTAATGGCTGGTAGCCGGTCTGAGAAGCAGGACCTGGTCACTAAGGCCTACTCCTACATCATACCAGCTATAGAAAGAGCCTTTAGGGATGCTACAAAGGCCCTTAATCCTCCGCCAAAACCAGAACCTTACATCGGCTTTTTCACCTACAGCAACATCACCTTCTATGAGATCAAAGTCGGGCCAGACGGCGTTCTGATCATGCAACAGTTTGGGCCTCAAATTGAAGAGCTGATCCCAGAGAAGTACAGGACAATAAAGCTGAACTACCTGGTGGACCGGGTGTTCAGAGTTGTTTTTGAAAAAGAGTACCCTTGTGTTTTGCAAGTAGGCACAGCCTCAGTGTCCCTGGAAGCCCAAGATGGCCAGCTTTTTAACTTCTACATATTTGACAAGCGTGGTTTGTCCCCTGGCTTCGATGCACCAGGACTTAACACGTACAATGTGGTAAGAATAGCCCGCAGACCAACTTTCTCGAGCTGAACTGCAGTGATGCTTCGACCTAAAGACAACTGGTATGTCCTTGGGACATGTCAGGTGTTGTAAACAAAAAGAGGTGTGAATACTAAAAGACTAAATGGAAAAGTTGGTATCAATTGTGTGGACAAAGATAGGATTGTGCTCTTGATAAACAAAGAGCACAGAGAGTGACGGCATAATGAATAATGTCTTGCAAGGGAAATATATGCTTTCCCTGAGAAATTATGTATATGACTGTCCTTCATTATGGATCCCAACTGAACATTCACTTTATTGTGATATATGCATTTGTTTTTCCTGCCTTCTTTCAAACCACTGTAACATTGTCTTGGTCTTTTCTGTCCTTGAATTTCAATGAAAGAGAAAAGCAGAACTCTGGTTCTCAACAAACTCCTGTTCTGGTCATGTATATGAATATCAACATAGACATCCTTTTCAATTATTGAACTATGACTGCTATTTCTAAAAACCCTAACACCAAGCACATACATATTCACAAAATTGGTAAGGGGAACAAATATTTAATTTCTTTGTTACTATGAACTCTGCTTGTGGCAGCTAGATCGTATTTATGAAAATGCATCACGTTATTTAAATGTGGATGTTGCCACAGGTAGAGTGCTGCCTATTAAATTATTGAATTGAATGAATTATTCATGAAAATTATTTTGGTTCCCCAATGAGAGGTGACTAGGGACAGAGAGGCTTTTGCTGCTTGTGTGACTTCTTGCTGTTTAACCCTTAGAAATGGACTCTAATTTGTCCGAAGTCCCAACCTCTAACTCCAGTATGAATAATACACTGCTCTGCTGCAGGTGTATCCAAGTGTGCAAAAATAACAATCATAAAGCAAAGGCTGATGTTTAACCTTTTATATTAGATTGTGTGTCGGATGGAAATGGAATATGAAAATGTTGCTTAGGCTTGGAGCACCAGGTGCAACGAGCGAAATTAGGGGAATGCTGAGAAATTAACCTACTATTTCCATTTCATCCGGCTGTGGGTGGAAATATTGAAACAGCAATTCAGCTATGTAATGCAATGTTGTCACGGGCCACAGATGAATTCTGATGCATTGTAAGAGTTAAAATGAAGTCATGGGTCATGCAGTATTGTAAGTCATACTGAAACAAAACTGCCCCAACATGCAAAGGATACTTTGAGATGATCTGCTGCTATGGTTAAGACTTGTTATTTTGGATGTAATATGAGGCTTTTAAGCTTTCAGAAAAGCAACCTTCCCAATGCAACCATGATGATGAATAAAATGCTGCATTCATGTTTCAGTATTGTCAATATAGTAACAAAATATAATTGATAACAAATAGGTAAAAAACATTTTTGCTTTCAACATTTATTTTTCTTACTGTAAGTCAGCCATTGCACAATAGCCATAATCAGTTCTTATACTTTGCAATCACTGAACAAGAGCTGGAAAATCTATTCATGAACACAATGCAAAAGACAAAACAAGATCAGGAAAAGCTTGCAGTACAGTATTTAATTCTTTGTTAACAAGTTTCACTGGAACACAGATAAGTATATTAACTCTTTGTGAAGCCCAGCAACACGTTAATTTACAAATAACAACAAAAAAAACAATACAACATTGTTTAGTTTGGAGAGGATTTGACTGTCCCACTTTCAAATTCCATTCTAAGGCTTACATGAGTTAAAGAATAAGACAGCAGGTGAAATATGCAGGCACTATTGAACAATATTATCCATTGTCACAAACCAACAAAATCAAAGTTCACATACAAGCTCTTGAGCGGCGTAAGTAGTTTAAATTAGCAGTTTTACATTTGGGAAAAATACTCTCACTTGCCAAGATCAATACCTTCTGAAGTTAGCTTGGTTTAGCTTAGCATAAAGACGAAACACTGCTAGCCTGGCTCTGTCCAAAAGTAAAAAGAAAGAAATAACTTTCAGCGCCCTTCAAATCTGAATTATTAACTTAGTATGTCTCTTTGTTTAAGAGCACATCTAAAATGTAAATCATCTTGTTTGGTACCCTTACACCACAACTTTAACACGGGAAAACTTTAAGAAAGGCAACTTTGGCTTCAGTAAGGTGACTTTAGGAGTGAAACTAAGTACGCTAGTTTTGCTAGCTAGTCTTGTAAAGTTAAGTGCTAGTAGCTACAGTATTGAGTTAAAGGAGTGATATGTGTGACAAATATTTTACATATCTTTTGTTATAAGATTGTCGTGAACTGAGGCACAGGACACAGGACCCAAATGCAGGACTCGGAGACAGTTGTCCAAAAACAGAAAGTAGTCACACTTCACGTGGACATTTTTTAATTTTCTCTAACAAATCTAAATCACACATCCAATGTGAAAAAAGGTTTTCCAAAAATCAAAACTCACTTGACAAAGATACTTTCTCAATATAAAGTTCAGGAGTCAAAGGGCCCAGGTTCTCATGGCATGGAACATAACGAACTGACAAGGGACAAAAAAACACAAGGGCTATATGGTGAGGGGGGTGAGCACAGGTGAAAACTATCAGGGCAGGGCCAAGCAGTCTCAAAGGCGGGAAACACACAAAGGCAGGAAGTGTGGGATCTGGAATGAGAGGGAATGATTACTTTAAAAAATAAAAACAGGAAGTGACAAGATCAAAAACACAAGACTAGACTAAAAAACATAACTTAACATAACATAACTGTCGAGCCACAACAAAGATACATTAAACATATGTTAGTGTTATCAATCCTCTTATTTAACTTACAGGAAGAGGATAATCATTTTCCAAACATGTCAAACAATAGCTTGTCTACTGCTTGTTAGCTCATTTAAATAAAGCCTCAATTAGAACACAGAGGTTTTACAGGTCTTCTCTCTCCATGCATTTTTGAGGATTGTAGTGTCCATGCTCAGTTTCATGTTAGGAGACAGCAAAGGAATGAAAGCGTTGGAGTCCTTATCTTCAACCTGGGCTCTGGCACTTGAGACAGAGGGTTCCAGTAAGATCTTAGGGAATGGTGGCGAGTCTCTGACAGAGCTGTTTTCCTCCGTCTGGAAGCAAACGAGTTCTCGGAAACACTCCCTGAACCGTGTGGACAGCAGACTGTAGATGATGGGGTTGACTGCAGAGCTGAGATAAAAGAAGACGCCCGAGAGGATGTGGACGTACTGATAAATGTTGTGCATCAAATCGGTCCACTGGCTGATGGAACTCCAGAGGAGTCTCTCGATGTGGAATGGCGCCCAGCAGACTCCAAACACCGCCACCACGATCGCTACAGGAGAAAACCAGAGAGAGTGAGGCTGTTTAAAAATATTGTTTTGTTGTTGCCGGTTAAACGCTTTTTCTTGTTACCGATTAAAAAAAACATAGACGATCTTATCATTTACTTTCAACTGACGAAATGGGATAACAAAACAATCTAATTAACTTTCTTGGATATTGCCTAAAACTACAGGTGAAACTACACAGGTGTTCAGACTTGATGGTAATCATGATCTGAATGTGTCACTCTGAGCAGCAGAGGTAGTTCTTAAAGCACTTTTTTACATTTCTCTTTTAATAATCCATGGCTAATCCTCTCAGAGTGCTCTCACTGAAGGAGGTGCAGCAGGCTGTTTGGCTGTTAATGGCCATATGGCATCAAGATAACTGACTGACTGTATTGAAAGCTTGGTGGCTTTCCACACAGTGAGAGATATTTATAAATGTGAGAGTGGCAAATATCTCACGCTTTTTTTTGTTCTCTTTTCCAAAACAGAGTTTGTGAGTTTTTTCTACTTTACCCTTGTTCTGGGAATGTCATTTTCGAGCCTGAGACCTGAAAAACAGGCTCAGGGCTTAGCAGGTTAACAAATAGTAATTTCACTTTTTCTCTCAGTAAATCTAAAAAGTTGAGATAATGATTTATTGTCCTTGACGGTTTCACATTTATATTCTGTACCGTCTTGTTCCAGCTCATCCTTGTAACTACATGATGCTCATACCAAGTAAAGTAATCAAATCAAGGACGAAATGTCCCAAATGATTTATAAGTCATAAAAATTAAGCCTGACATATTTGGTATTTTTTGAAACACTGTATCTTCAGAGAATAAATAATATAGTTATGTGGGTTTAAACACATTGATTGTATAGTGACCAGTGGCGGACTGGCCATCGGGATATTCGGGACGAATCCCGATGGGCCGGTACTGAAGTGGGCCGGTCGGACGATGTGGGCCGGTCGGATAAGTCACTAGCATTGGCTTCTAACCTTGAGGTTGACGCTTGTACTTGTCTGACATTTGTGTTAACTTAATCAAAGTACAAGAGGCCGTCAGATTTCGATGTTTATGATGCGAATATGGCTGTGAAAATGGGCTTCCTGACAATGTGGAAAACCCATTATAGCTCTGACCTTTGCAGGTTCCATGTTGTCATGACTCTCAGTGGTATTCAACACCACCTTTTTATTTTTGTTACATGTGGTTTTATGATGAATATATAAATTTAGAATGAAACTCCTTGTACAGAAAATTAAAAATCTATTTACAGTGAGGTAAATGGACTGTTTACTGTAAGAACTGTGCCAACAGTGTAAGCTACATTAATCCTTATTCAGCCCCACAGCTTTATTGACTCCCAATACAAATTATCCATACAAAGAATTGACAATCCTTGGCATTGTTAGCTCTGTGCTTTCCTCACGTCCCTTTCTCTTTGGGAACATGTCTTGGCATTGATACAACAGATTAGGGGATATGCTGTCAATTTGTAGCAGTCTTTGACAGTAATACATGTACATGTTTTCCTAAAGAGTGAAAATAACTCACAGAGCATCTTGTTGATCTGTCTCCTGCGCCCGTTCACGCTCATCTTCCTCCGAATGTTGCTGCTACAGTTCCTCCCCAGGTTCTCGCTTGGCTGCCTTCGTTCTCTGCACAAATGAAGGCCCATCACCAGGTACAGCACGCTGATCACCATCATGGGCACGAAATAGAAGCACACAGTGGTAATCTGCATGACCATGTTATAGATCCACAGGGGCTTCAGCACAGTGCATATGGCTGACTCCTCCATCCTCCCTTTCAGGTAGAAGAGTCCGTGCAGGGAGGTGTTGGGGATGGCACAGATCATGGATACCACCCACACGATGGTGATGACCCGCTTTGCGTGCTTGTTAGTCGAGAGGTACCGTGTTTTGAGCGGGTGCACCACAGCTATATACCTCTCCACGCTCAAAGCTGTGACGTTGAGGATTGAAGCGAAGCAGACCGCCTCGAAGAGGAAGGTTTTGAAGTAACAGCCGCCCTCGCCAAAGGGAAAGGGGTAGTTCTGCCACAGGTCGTATACCTCCAGGGGCATCCCGAACAGTAGAACAAGAAGGTCCGACAAAGCCAGGCTCAACAAGTAGAGGTTGGTGGGGTTTCGCATCTTCTTGTGCTTTGCTATCACTGCACATGTGAGAAGATTCCCAGACAAGCCGACGAGGAAGATGAGAAGGTAAACACTGCTCACAGGGAGGAAAAAGGGGGACCGTTTTGGACCCAGGATGTCTACGAGGTTGACTTCGGTGACTTGGTCGCTGGTGTAATTCCCAGTGGCATTTAGTGGCACGCTGGTGTTGTGGACCAGCTTGGATATGTTTAAAGAGCAGCTTTGCAAAGTTTGCTCCATTTTGGAGAGGAAAATGCAAGGAACAACAAGGTGATGTCAACACATCCAGCGCCGATGTCTGGGTTGGTTCAACACTGGGGGCCCGCTTTAAAAAGAAAAATAGGAAAACAGAAAAACGTCAACAGCCAATAGGATATCATTTGATGTGTAGCTCTGTGAGGATTGTTATTGTGGTCAAACTTCAGTTTAACATTTCTTTCTCTGCTTGTTTCATAAATCACCCAATCGTTCACATATTCCCAGAACTTGAGACCTAATTATAACTAAAGACTTCAAAAGACTTGAATCTTTAACCCTTTATCTTTAAAAAAATCTTTAATATTTAAATACATTTCACAAGGGCAGCCACTTACAATCCTTTTGATTATCAATTAATAAAGCCCATTACATTCCTGATAAATTGTTAAGTCTATAAAATGCATGGTGATTATTAATTTAGTACTCAATTAATTTTCTGTCCATTTACTAAAAGATGAATGGACTGATTGTTCTTTCTTTGATGGGGATCAGCAGGAATAGGAGGCAAACTTAAAGTGTATTATTGATTACCTGATGGTGCAGAAAATGCATTATTCATAAAGCAAAAACACACTTTGAATGTGTAACAGGACGGGTTATTGAATGCTGTACACAGAATGATTTATTTGTACTTTTATTATTACTTAATTATATTACATAAAGCCATTCCAGACAAACAGCACAAATGTAATATAAGACTTCATTTTTTGTAATTGTAAAACATAATTTTACAAAAAAAGAAAAAAAAGGTTTCCAATAAAAATGTACCTCACCTTGACGCTGTTGGTCTGCAAACTGCTTCTTATACGGCGCTCTAATCATGATTAAAAATGAGAAGGAAAAAAAAAACAGCGCAATGAAGGCGATTAATGAACAAAATCGCAAATTGAAAAGTAGCTGGACACGCTTCTGGTCGCTGCAGAGGATACAGACGGAGGATGGAAACTGCACTGCATCCACGTCCCCTTCAGACACACCGTGAGATGTAAGGGGGAGAGAGGGAGGCAGAGAGGGGGGAGAGATCATCTGTTTAATTTATGTAGCCTCTACGTTCTGAAAGGCTGGAGACAGGAACAGAGGAATCTTGTCGTTCATTGACTTTCAAAATCAAAACACTTTTGTGAATGAAACACTTTATCTAAAATGCTGCAGCCAATAAGCTACATCTACATATTGTAACAGAAGCAATATTACGGATTCATTTTTAAATAAATAGTCATGATTTGAGACGTCATCAAACTGTTGTGTAAGGAAACACAAGGGACTGTGCAAAAAGTAATAGGGAGGGTCAAAAAAGCAATATTCATATATTTTTTATTAGCATTTTGCTAAAAGCAGGGTAGTGTATAACTTATGAGTTAATATTTTCTTTTACGCATGGGGCAAAATACATTGTCAGTGACAGGTATAGGTCGAACTATTAAGCCAGAAGTTCTTTATTTAAAAATATAGTATTTTCTCTATTTTGTTGTGTTTGCCATATTTGTACCTACCTTGCAAGCAGGGTTTTTCTTAGGTGAGGGTCAGAATCTTAAGAACATATTGATTAATCTGCGGACGGCTTTTTTACCAAATAAAGTGATTCACTATACCTTCCCCTGTTGTTTTCATCCCTTAATCCTTTAAGTGCCCATGGATTGTTAATGTAATACATGACAACAAGGTAATAACAGAAGATAATACAGAGGATAATATTGACAGTATGTTTCAAAGAGTTAGGCCACTGAATGCAGTTGTTGTCCAAATTAGAAAAATTAAAAAAGGGCAGAAAAGTTTTTTTCTGTTGGAGTGTGAAGAATGAGTTCAGGAGTCTCAGCCTGAGAAAATAGGTGGAGCAGTACAAAGTCCAGCCATCAAGTGAAACAGCTTGATCCAGGATGTTGAGACAGGTCTCTGAAGATGTAAGCGCAGCCCTAATTTCCAGTTTCTGGGTCATATACATGGCCGTATCCACCATTGAGGTCACCGAGGTCCGGACCTCGGTAATATTTTTCGATCTGTGTATACAAAACTTGTGAAATAATTGCACAAAACGGGGTTATTTGTAGTACTTCCATTTACTGACGATGGGGGCGCTGCATAACTACGTAGCCTCGATTAAAGCAAACAGAAGAAGACGACATGTATCAACAAACCACCGCAGCCCGGAGGGAGAAATTGAACAAAGAGAAAGAGTAGAGGACAGAGAGATTAATGAACAGGAAGAAGACAGAGAGACTAAAGAAGATGGAAGAGAGGGTGGAGGTTATGGAAAGGAGAGAGACATGGAAAATGA